TTGTCAGCGTTTCGCGCAATGCTTGGTTGATTTGTCGTGTAAACCATTCGGACCTGTTATCACCTTTGAGCAGTAGTTGTTGACCATATGCATTACCGGTTGCGCGATTATCTCCGTTAGGTGTTTATCTATGAAGCTATCCTGATAACCGTTCCCGTGAAGGAAGTTTCTGATGTGTTCAAGTTCTTCGGGTGCGACATTGGGAATGCAAATTTTCTGTGCCGACATATCTAGGCATCTCACCAAACTGTTCTTTTGTTTCAATGGCACGAAGCTATTGAAATTGAAATATCGTCCCATTCATGTTGATTTTCTGTATACTCCTCGCTGGATAGTTCCATCAGGGTTTCGGATTAGTAGGACATCCAGGAATGAGATTCAATCATTGTTCTCTTGCGCATGAACTTTATTACGTCCTCAGCAATACGGTTCCACCTCAAAGATAAACCGCCCCCTCAAGCCGCATTCATATGTCTTTACGCGTTCACTCCCTCCCGTGGAGCGAGCTATATCAACTGAACTACGAGGCAGCTATCAAAGAGGATACGCGAACAACAACCCCGCTGATTGAGACACTGTGAAACTAAGATGGAGAAAAGCTCTATCTGTCAACATATACTGGAGACATAACACACTATCAATGTTGATCAGGCTTTCCACACCATTTATCACACGCCATCATCTCTGCCAAAACGACTTCGGTTTATCATTCTGTGCACAGGTGAGATGTTAACTATCCAAATATTGGATCCTCCCTTATACGTACACAGGTCTGAAACACCTTGGGGTAGATGCGACGTTTCACTGAGGTTGAACGGTTGTGCATAATGTGCTACCGTTTGGTCTGTTCTGCCTTTCGGTTGTGGCTTTGAAGTTGTGAGTAAAAGACATCCATCAGCTAGAGGTCTTCAACAATGCTTTCTTAGTTGCCCAGAGATGAAGTTGAGTGAGTAGATTAGTAACTTAGAGATAGGTCTTCTTGTGTTCGTGCGTTCATCGGGAAACTATAGGCCATCACATGACATTCAGTTTAGTTGATGCGTGTATGTCCAACTGTCGTCTGCCGCACCCCTTCTGATTCGATGATTCCGCTCCTGATTGGAGAACATCACTTTAAAAGATAATGTCCAGTTGAGGCCTGAAAAACTGCCCATGGTTAGTAGTTAGACCAAGTATCTCTCATCTTTCAGGATGGGTGTGTGAAGGCTGGCGACACTGAGAGACATGACTATGAACTGACAGACGCGTCATCCTTGGTGTCATTTGTTATCAGATCAGAGCGCTTGAAAATACGTCTATACACTGCTCAAGTATATACTCTGTTTGTTGATCATGGTAATTCCCAGTTCCTAAAAATAGACTCTATCATTGCCCACCTTACAGATTCTCACGTATGCATTGAACTATGTAGCGATCAGTGGAGTTCGCTTATGTGTATTGTGCTACACGATGAAGATAATGATGACGATGACGACAACCTTTTGCACCTATATCAACAATTATACCGGAACATGCCTTTCAGTCGGTTTCAAGTGCGAGGTCAGTAGAAAAACTTCTGAGTTTATAGTCGATCCGTCGCTTCAGATTTGGAGAGAAACTGCATCATAGTGAAAAACAGCATGGTTTAGGGTTACAAGGGCGCTTCATGAATCAATTCGTAGCAGGTATAATTAGGGGAATGCATATTTCCGGCTTGCTGGGTCTTAGTACTAGAGTCTTCGGAATAAAACATCAATCACAATCTACGGGAAGCTGATAAATAGATCAGTCACTTCAGAAACATTAGATATGCGATTAAACTTGTTTGGTGCTTAATTTTCACTGGAACTCACACCACTAGTACATCAAATCATTCATATTCGGTTTGGTTTCTCCCCTAAATAAACTTCCGTCATCAGCACTGAGAGAAACAGCTGTCCAGTGCTTCCCAGCTTTTCAGCTCACGACGAATTCATCATCAAAACAAATCAAATCCTCCATTTCTCCCAAGAATTGATTATTCGTTTCTGTTGTTTCACCTTAGCTGAAGTCCCTCGTCACTGGGAACAGTGAGTAGACTCAATGGTTTATATGTTCTCTGGAAAGCCGTGCTGTTCTACTTATTTTTGTATTATCCAGCCCACTGCATTCTCTTCTGGCCCATACATTTAAGCTAATACTGGCGCCTAATTTGACCGTCGGGTGGAATTCTCTCCTGTACGATATTCGAAGCGAGCTACCTCTTTGTATGAATACGACCCACTCGGGCACTGTCGGGCTAATCGAGCAACAACAACAACAACCACGGTGTCGTCCATTGAATGCCATGCAACGTTTTAATCTCTATCCAGAGTTGGTTTTGGCTACAATCTACCGAATTCTACGCTCCTATGAACTTCTAAAAACCGAATGTTATCAAGTATCTCGGTACTTGACTCGAGACCCTGTGGCGATCGTTGTGAACCCAACTCTATTTGCTCAAGCTATTCAAGACCCAAGGTATCTGCCCACTAGTAATATCAGTCGAAAATGCATTTGTTCTTTTGCTCTTTTCTAAAATCTTGGTCCCTGTGCCTGATTTGTCTATTCCCTTCGTAGGAATTTATCACATATTATTACCATAGGTGAATAGACAGTGTGTTAGGCTAATTTTCTCACCAGGGGATAGTGATGGTCCGGTGGTTTAAGTCACTATGACTGGAGTACTTCCAACCCGAGACTCGAACGTTGCCACCGCCACTCAACTTTTAATGGTCAATAGCTTTCCTATATTCCGGCTTAATGTCACCTTGTTCATTATTCAGGCCTTCGGTCGCCGGTTCTGATCGGTAAACTCATGTGACCCTGGAGTTCACTTCGTACTGTTTTATCATACTAAAGTGTCATCCAAATGGTATCCAACTGTTTCGGGCCGTATTTTCTTTTTGCCGGCAACCGATTCACTCATCTAGACGAATAGCTCATTATGATTTTCCATAATAAAACTTAGACTTTGAGAAGTACTCGTTGTTCATCACTGTGAGTTATGAATTACGAGGTCGGGAAGCTCAGTAATGATTTCCGTTAACATCCCTTATCAGAATGTCGAGGATTTGTTGTTCACCGCAGTCTTTCTTTCTTTGGGCACAGGTCGAGTATCCCATATTCATACTAGTTTATAACGCATCTTGGCTTGTTTTGTCTCACCTTTTTACATTCTTAACCGGTCCTATTCCACGTATCAATCAGCTTTTTATCTGGATTTTGCATCTTCATAGTGTAAAATGCTGTTACAGGACTAGAGTTGTCGGGTTGTTGATTTCACTTCACCTGAAAGGGCAATAGAGGTCATGAGAAAATTTTACTACTTAGTTTGATGCATCTCTTCCACGAATTTTCGGATTTTTATGTTCAATCAATGACAGGAAGCTAAACCTAGTACCTTAGTCAGCCTTAGTGAAGGCGGGAGCTACAGACTATTGAAAGCTCCATACAGAACAACGCTTAAACACTAGCTTATGCGGATGAGGAAAAATCATTTTGGCCGTTCTTCATAATTCCTGTGAATGTGCTGAGAGAAGGACAACGTTAATTACACTGTACGCAATAGAGGTGCTTGTCACCCCAATTCACTACACATTTCTATGCCAATGATGAAAACTAACCCGTAGCCGTGATTTTCTTCGATCGTTTCAAACAATGCATTTGATCACTTGATCATTTCAAGCTCATGGTTCCGTTCTTTCTGACGTGCAATTTTTTCTCTCGTGGAGACCATGTCTCGTTCGATACTGCCACCCTTCCTCTCAATATGCCCTAAGATCAACATACCATATTGAGAATGATTGGTTTTCCATTTTTATCCTGTTTTCTCGGTAAATTGTGAATATTTTCCTTCCTTTCCTCCTTCCCATCTTTCTTGCCCTGTTCACTCTGATTCTAAGCGGTTTGAGTAGCTTTTTATCATTTTTTCGAAGACGAATTAAATGTTATCGTAGTATCTTATCTCGTGGCATTTTGATGAATTAGCATCAGTTTTCAACCCATTTGTTTGTACCACTTGGGTTTTTAAATTAAACTGTTGGGCTTTAGGAGGCCATCTATTAAATTGGGATAGTTCATGTAAATAACGATGCCGTTTGCTGATATGATTTCTGATGTTTAACCTTATAGCATGCCCCTCCAAGCGGATCAAACTCTGGCCGCCGCGGAGGACCCGGTTGTTAGTTGTGTCGGACTGGCGGAACCAGCGTACTTCTACACGGGTGTTGTTTTCGCCCTTTCCGGTCTGAATATGGTCGGACTTTGCCTTTCTGGATGGTTGGTGGCCAACTCGGGCAATCCCAG